CAAAATAAAACTGCTGAAGACCCATGTTCCGGTTTAAAAAAATGAAAAGAAAGACCATTATTCGCAAACTCAATGACACTATGTTGTTTTATATGAGTTTTGCTTAATTTAATGATAATCACTTACTCAAAACTGAACAGCACCTGTTGTGTTTGAAGAAATGTTCTCATTTCCAATTTGACCACCTTGTGAATTAGGAAAAAATGTGTTGTATCTGATGTATCTTGAAATTTAGAAATAGTCAGTAAGTCAACAATTTGAAAGAACTCAAAATTTCAACTTCCCTCTCTCTGCAATTTTTTTATTAATTCATTTAATTGTTAGAAACAAGTTTCCATTTTCTCGTCCTCCTTTACCTTTGGATATTTATCCATAAGAAACACAAACTCAATTACATTACAGACCATTAATTACAGACCATTATAATGGCTAACTGGTTTGATTTTATTTGACGACTTGCTCTTTTTGCATATTTAATTTAAGTTTCCTCCTGTGCAGAGCAACACAGTACAAATATATAGGAGTTAGCTCATGGCTTAGATGAACAAATTGTAGCTTTAATATCCCACATAACCAAATGTAGATTGTTTAATATTTATTTCTTCAGTATGTTTTCCTATGCTTATCATCTACAAAGGGATGATCATGTATTACAGACTAAATCTACCCACTGATACAAAAAAGTAACCTGAGCCTGAACAGCTGAGGTATGTCAACTTTTAAAAGCCAAAGGATAAGTGAATGTTTTTTGTTTTGGTGTTTTGTTTTTTTGGTGTATTTTGTCACATAGGCCATCAACAGTCACCTCGAGTCGCTTTATATTGTAGGGGAAAGACTAGGGATGTAGCTAGCAATTATTTTAGTGAACGATGAATCGATAGATTATTCCATCAATTCACTGAGTAATCCAACAAGAAATATTTTTGTCTTATTAATGAGCAATCATAAACATTCAAAGGAGAAAAAACACAGGTCTTTCAAAATGAACTGCTCGTTGTTTTCCATTTTAGAAATTGCAATGTTTTCACGTTTAACTACATATAACATCTGTCAAAAAAACACAAAAAACAACTAAACCCCTTTGATTGTATGTACATGTCATAATAAATTAGATTTTTTTTAAAAGAAAACATTTTCTTAAATTGTAAAATGTATAAATAATCTCAAGCACAGTCAAAAGTCACAAATAAAATAAGATATATATGCAAACTAAACTAAGGCATAGAAATGCACCTTTACTCTGTCTTCTTGGAAGGCTTTCTGACTTTAATAGGAAGCAAGTGCTGCTGAAAACAGATGCTATGTTAGTGTAGATATTAATAATAATTCAGTGTCCAACCTAACAACCATCAGGTCAGTGGACCAGAGTTTAATAGCCCATTTATATTTTTATTGGCTTGTGGAAAAAATCTTATTTCTATATTTTTAAATATTAATGGATTTTAATTAACACAATATTTGATATTATTTCACTTACAGTGTTAAAAATCTTACAAAAGCCTTGAAATTAATAAGGTCTAGGACACCCAATGCCCCCCTTTATACTCACCCCTGTTTGCTGCATATAAAACAGGACGGCTATTGTCAGCATTCAGCACGCTGTATGAATAACATTTCATCTGCATATTTTAATACAACTTCTGGACTCTTACTGCAGATTTTGACTGCGTAAAACAAACGGAGCAGCGGTGGATGGAGCAGCTACAGCGTTTGCTTTTGGTCGTGTCAGTTTGTTGATCAGGTGCTTTGACAAAGGACTCCACTAGCCTTTTCCCAGTAAAGGTTTTAATGGTGATCACAGGAACAGCTGCTGTTTTTTTCACTCTACCTGAGCTCACTGTCTCAGTAACAGCTCCGCCTCTTTGCTCTTCGCGGTGTGTAAACAGACTCCAGCTCCACGTTAAACTGTGCCAGCGTCATCATTTCTACTGCTGTGTTGTTATCAGTGTGTGTGGGCTCAATATGGTCAGACTTATTATTCACTGATAATAAATACGTGTCTATTGCAGGTCTGTTTTTAGTGGGTGTGCGTGAGAATGTGGGGGAAGATGCTACAATAATACAGAGAGAATTTCAACAATCAGATGACCACTCTGAGCAAGTACTTCACCATCGTCATCATCATCATCATATGTCCCTTTCTATAGATTTTGACTCCTTAGGGTATGTCTATGGTCTCCAATAGATGCTGAAAAGTTGTCATAAATCACCATTCTCCATATCTGCGGGGCATCTAGCCCTAACAGTCAGATGACTTAACAGTGGGATTATAAAACTGAAACAGATGATTTTTGTCCTTAGGACTATTGTTGGATAACAGACTCACATTTGCCAAGAAAACTGAAGGTAAAAAGTGGATTTTTGTTCAGAAGCAAATCCTGCTTTTCTTCTGTTAGTGATACTGTATGCATGCATGCTTCTCCCTCCATCCATCCATACTTTTCCATTCACATTCCACTGTGTTTCCTCACAACTGACACCTTTCTACCTCAACATTGTGTCTTATACAAAACAATACATAACAAATTTTAACTTAGTTCAGGTAAATTGGTACTTTATATTGTAAGGCTAAAAACCAGATCACAGAGCAATCAAACGTCCCCATTTGGCGATGCTGGGAAGGAAGACATTTCTAAGAAGAAATGACCTTCAGTAGAACCATGCTCAGGGAGGTGCAGCCATCTGCGTCAACTGACTGGGTGGTCAGGAGAAAGAAAGAAGGAAAGAGTTAATGGCAGGTAGGCTATGAACACAACGAGGACAAAACTCAACCGACAGAGTGATGGCATGCAGTAGTAGCATATAAGTACATCAGGAAAAGAGAGGAAGCGAAAGGCTCAGTGCATCATTGGAAGCCGATCCTGCAGCCCCAGTCCCCAACCCCCAGGGTTGGTTCAGACTCACCTGATCAGCCCTAATTATAAGCTTAGAAAGTCTGAAGGCTCTGCCTTTTAGATATAAGCCAGTAGTCTCAGACCAAAATGCTCTATTAAGATAATTTTGTACGATGTGGTCTTTGACAAATGATAGGGCTTGAGTGTTTAAGACTGTGTATGTATGGACTTAAATTCACGTCTGGATTTAACTGGAATACAGTTCATTATAATACATGAGTGTTACCATGATCTTACTGTGAATTCTTCCTACATGATCCAGAGTTGAGCAGCCAAACTTGCCAAACAGGTAAATTTTGCAGGTCTCAGGTCTCTGGGGGTTCTTATCTGTATTATGAAATCATTGTTGCATAACAATCACTGACAATAGGCTAAAATTACCCAGCCTTAGCATGTCTGCACCTGTAACACCTTACAAAAGCGTCCATCCATTCAGCTGACATGGGGCAAAAGGCAGGGTACATCGTGGACAGATCACCAATCTGACACTGGGCTAACACATAGAAACAAACAAGCATTCACATCTATGACCAGTTCAGAATAGCCCAATAACTTAACCCAAAGCAGGCCTTTGGACTATGGGAGGAAGCTGGACTGCAAGTTGAAAACCCCCAGACTGGATTCAAACCTGGGACCTCCTTGCTGTGAAGCATTGGTGCCACCTCACCCCCCCTTTGCATCGAAACATCACATTATTTTAATTTCACAACAACAACATCAAATTTATATGATTTTATGCCACCTATGCTATCATGAAGCCTTCCACCTATCAACTGGCCTGCAGAAAACCAGTATTCAGACAAAACCATAAATAAACATGTGATCATGCACACAGTTTTTTTTTTTACCTTTAAAATAACTTATTAGAGAAAAACATGTATTTTAACTTCCTCTGTTAAAAAAAACAACAACATTTTTTTCCCCAAACCTAAATGTCCTGCTATTTGTTTTGTATGCAGGTTATTTCATATAAAATCTGTCAAATTGGAAAAAGGTTTCGACTCAATCCCCTCAGAATCGATTTCACTCTGGTAATCTCAGCATAAGTAATACAATATACTATTTTTCCAAAATACAGTACCTACACAGGGTTGCACTAAAATTTGGGACCTTTTTCAAGAAGCGTACCTTTTCCAGCCCTCACAATGTCTTAAATAAAGAGGATATCCACATGGAAATTTCAGGGCTGAAAAACAGATTTTTGTTCTGTTCTGAGAAAATTTATTTTACCCTTAGTCCAAATCTTTGTTTGGTTTGTTCAACATGGAGAAAACCTGCAGTGAATATGGGTTCCCTGTTGCTTGTACTCTGATAACAGAGGCAGGCAGAAAATGCAAACTGTTTTTATGTTTTTATTATTAAGCACACTGAGTTTGCATGTAATGCAATGTGATATAGGAATGAAATTACAAATGCCAGTGTCACACCAGAAATTTAAGGAGCTTGGAAAGAAAAGCATCTGGACTTCTTTAAGTTTCTTGAAGACATTTCACCTCTCATCCGAGAAGCTTGGTGGAGAGTCTCATATTTAAGCCCTATGGGAGTGTCTTTCCACCAATTCAAGAAACTTAAAGAAGTCCAGACGCTTATCTTCCCAAGCTAAGATTATAATGACCTCGATGACTGAGAACCTCGATGACAGACCGAACAGAAAGTTAACACTTATTATGGAAAATCACACTGGAGGATGAGACGGGCAAAAAGCAGGCTTTTCCTATACTGTAAACTGTTTTGATTAGCCACCTATCGCACATGGTTACACAAACTTGAAAGGTTTATCCAGATCAAAGATCCAGGCTGATTTCTGTTAATCTACTGTGTGTCACAATCATTAAACAGGTTGAGATAAACTGCTGCAATCTGCTCCCAACTCTGTTTGATATACTATGATTCTGCTAAGCTGTTTGCCATCTGAGGATATTTGCATTAGTTTCCACAAGCTGTCCGCATTCAGGGTGTGGCATTTTCTCTCTTAGTTACTCTCTTCAACCCCCAAACACACACACACACACAGACACACACACACACACACACACACACACACACACACACACACACACACACACACACACACACACACCAGGCTTTCTGTTTGACATAGCTGGATGTTCTGTCTTCCTTCTCAATGAAGAATTTGTGTCTGTTGCTTTACTTATTTATAACGTGTTAGGTTACATGTTTTCTAGGGAGTGGAGTCTACGCAGCCGATGTTCATGTGTGCGTCTGTCATGACGTCGCTGCTGAATCTGGTTTGGCAGGCGTTCTGAGGAAAGAATGAGTAGACAGAGGCAGCAGGGGAAAGAAAGGAGCTGAAAAGCTGAAAGTAGCTTTTCCCTTCAGTGCTTAGTCTTCGCCTGCTGGTGTCGGCACACGGGGTGTTTAAGTGGCGTTTCACTTCCAAGTAAGTTCCTTTCTCTGTTTGGTTTTCAATAATTTTACTGTATCCTAAAGTCAGGAGTGAGCGGTAAACATGGAAACTGTATTCAGGAGTCTGTCATTTTTCCCCTGGCCAAGCTAAAGTATGTTTTTGTTCTTTTTAAAAGTAATGCAAAAGGTGAACACGAGTTGTTTATATGCTAGAAAAATAGGGAAACTCATTTAAAATAATAACCAGCTATGGAACAAACATTTCCTTTTGTTATGACTAAGTGTTAGAATATGAGGGGAAAAAAATGGTGGTCAACTCTAGGTTCATCAAAAAGACCGAGGCGTGGTGGAGCGGGGTTCACATTACAGTAAAAACTTTCCATGTAGCCACCGATGATACATAAAGTTTCTATTAAAGTGCCTCCTTTATGTCTTTTAGGTTTCCTCTTTGCTTTAGTCTCTTACATGACTGTAACCAAATATATGTCTATGGTACAAAACACTGCTGCTGAGGATCCTGGGATGGCTCGTTTGTATTTCTTTTGGTTCTTTCCTGCATCACTGACAAACTGTCAGAATGCCCGCCACCAACGATCAGCTGCTTCTCAGTCCACTACTGTTAAACTAGACTGTACAAGCTACGAACAAAGCACGTCCACAGTGGCATTAGTAGAAACCACTACTGATTCCTTTTATTAAACAATAATTGTCCCACAAAAATTGGGAAATCCCTTTAAGTTTAGTCTTAGCACAGACTAACATTACAAGCTGTTTGCTTCTGTCCTCTTCTCTGTGCTCATATAAACTTAAATACAGCTGAAATCCCATCAAAGCTGTTCTCATTTATGTTTTTCTGCTTCTGTTGTCCAACAGCACAACAGGTCCCAAAAAGCTTTCAAACCTTTCTTCACTTCCGCACAGCTAAAATACTGATATCAGTGATTTTGTATAACAAAAATGGTTATACAATTTTTAAATACAATTTTTTCTTTTTACAATTGTTAAATAAATTGTGTCATTTTAGCTACAATTAAATGTGAAATGATCCTTTTGGAGAAAAAAGAAGCAACAGAATTTCATAAAAAGTTAAAAACGTTTTCACTCTGGGAATGAAATTTGGCTACTCTACATGTCATAAACCTACTGGACCCTCAAAAAGTCAGAGCAATGGTTTAGCTAATAATGGCTGTGTGTTGGTCTTACGTAGAGCCTATGGACAGCTTTGCAGATTGTCACCTACATGTTATAACTGATTAATGCCACCAGGGGGCAGCGTCACAACCAGCTGCATGTCAGCTGCTCTCTTATGCTGTGGTTGATCGTTCAGCTAACTGTGCAGACGACAGAAATGATAACATACAAGTAGCTCAAGTGAAAAATGTCCACTGAAGAACTGTCTGTGCTTTTCGTGCTGTTTTTTTCCTGTTATTTCCTGTTTCTGTCCACTTTGCTGCTCTGAACATCTGCATTCCCTGCATTCCCACGCATGCCACTCCCATCCACCAGGAGTAAACCATTGGTGTTAAAGTGGTTGAACTGGAAGTTTTGGTGAAGGTGTCTTAGTGGCATTTTACCTGTCAAACGTTTGATTGTAAGCAGTGTTGAGCATCCAAAATAATGGCCATACCTGAGTTCATGGTCTCAGTTGGGTCACCGTTTTGCTGGTCTGTGCTTGTCAGAGGTCGACCGTACACTCCCAATGACAATACGATTTACACATGCATTGTATTATCGACTTTTTTGTTGCTTAGTTTGAATCTTAAAATACTTTTTGCCCCGTTTCTACAAAGATTTAACAGTTTCTTTATTTTTAAAACAATATTTAATTTGTCTTAAAAAAAAGGAAATTCATCCTGGAATACTGCCTTCAATTCAAAAATACTGACCCCAACATAAACAGCCTCTGCTGCAGGAGTTAATCTGGAGTTTAAAGTGTTAACAGAGAAAACTCCTCCAAACTGAGCCAATGCTCTTTCGTAAATTCCAAATATTTAACTCTTTTCTAAACACTGACTGACCTTCTACTGTGCCAGAAACCACAGAGGCCTGTGCGTGTTACAGAAACCATATGGATTTTATTTCCTTCTTCTAAACGACTGCAGTACTTTGAAAGTTCATCCTTTTCTCTTTGAAAGAATACACCCACGCCTTCCATTTAAGCTTCTTCTCCTATATTTCTGCATTTAACATTTGCCTGAAGCACATAAAAATCTAAGCAGAAATGTAGCAAAAAGCATCAAAAGCATGTTTTTGTCTTTGCAAGCTTTGGAAACTCTGAGAGTTCAGAAAACTTCACTTTGATTGCACACACTGAACAGTGTTCAGAAACCATAGCCTCGTAGATAAGCTGGGGTGCATGTCATTAGGGTGTTCACTGATAAATGTCATTCAGCAGCAGCAAACATGCAGACAGTTGATACTGACAGATAACCTGTGAGCACATAGAATCCAAGAGCACAGTGTTAATAAAAGACTCTCTAGGTGTTAAAATCACACAGACATACAGTCATGTTGTGCTCAGATTATATGTGTACATATTTAAGAAACACCTTCAGTTATTTACAGCTTCATATTTCTATTCTTGGACCGTAGTAGAGTAACTTTGGAGGATTCATTGCTCAAAATAAGTCTTATTCGGCTTATCCCAAGCCTTAAGGCAGCCTCTGAATTTATCCTCTATCTGAAACAAGCCATTTCATCTGCCTTTAAGGTTTTAATGCCAGAGCAGTGTGTCTGTGACGATCGTATTGGGTATATCCACTGCCACTGACATCATACACAGTCAAACTGAGAAGAGCATGAGTCTTTTTCTAATATGAGAAGCTCAAATGTCTATAATAAAAAAGCATTAGTACAATAACAATAGATTTTCACAAGCTTACCTGCACATTTGTGTGTGATGCTTTGTTTTGTCCTTAAGAAAGATGCAATAATCCATTTTGCAAGAAAGAAATGTGTTGGTTGCATTTCAGGAGTTAGAGCAGGTCAAAGATTTACTGGATGGTTAGTGGTTTGATCCCTGCTCCTCCAGTCTGCATGCAAAATGTCCTTGGGCAAGATACAAACCCCAAGTCATTCTCCGATGCATCGATCGGAACATGAATGTGAGTGAATGTTAGCTAGAAAGCAAAAAACAATGCTTTTGTGAATGAGGCATGTTATATAAATCACTTTGAGTGCTCCATTTACATTTTGTAAGGTAAACAAGTGGTTAGATGCTCTAACCAGCCGAAAAACATTGCTGAAGGACATGTGACCATATTGCTTTAACACTTGCTTCATAAACAAGCTGCTTCTGTCAACTGCATGCATTCAGAATCAGATACTTGTTCTAATACTAGAACCAATAAAACTGGAACACAGACTTGTCAGCTTCAAAAGGCACCAATATGACAAACGACAAATGAGATAAAGAGCGTTAGCCACTTGTGCAGGCACCCATCTGTCAACCAAGGGAACCACGCCCACAATAATACATAACTTTAAGCCTTGTATACACTGTAAATGGGTGCGTTAAACAAAAGTTAATCTCCTGTAGATTTGTTATGAAAAGAATAAAATGAGCTGGCCTTAAGTGTGCTTGTTTCTGCTCCAAATTTGGGTTTTTAAACTAAGTCCACAGGGCCTGACTTGTTTCTGGGGCTGGTTTTTGGCACGTTTGCCTAGATTTAATGCTTCAATCTCAGAGGATGTCAGCTGTCACAGCTAATTTAAACTAACATAAAATTGTGGTGGTCATATTTTTCTACATGTAGGCAAATGCAAACAAACGGTAGATTTGTTTTATTCATCATTTTATGGCCCTTATTTTATTTTATTTTAACTGTTTACATTTTGTTACAGTTACTGAAGCATGCAGTTTCATTAGTGAGGATCCAGATAAGATGAATAAGCCTAAATAATGATTTATTGGGCATTAAAGGGAATCAGCAGTTGTACTGTTGTGCAAACCTACAGTGTTTCTAAATGTGTACTCTCTCCTGTTTGGCTGATACGAATGAATTCATGCAAGCCCAGACATGTATTTATGTGACCCACATTGCAGCTGATCCTTAACGATAGCAAGACCAAATTTGAGAATAAGAATAGAATGCAAAGCTAAATCTAAGGGAAGGTAATTAGTATTTTTGTTTTTCTTCACAGAGCATTTATCTCCAAGGCCAGTCCAGCAGCGACAGGGATGAACTGGTCAGGATTGGAGAATCTTCTGAGCGGAGTCAATCAGTACTCCACGGCGTTTGGGCGGATTTGGCTGTCCATGGTGTTCGTGTTCCGAGTGTTGGTGTTCGTGGTGGCAGCTCAGAAGGTGTGGGGTGACGAAAACAAAGACTTTGTGTGTAACACCCGACAGGTAAGGCTGTCACTAACCCCACCTTCCAATGTTTTTCAGTGACAGGGAGAAATAAGAGTTGTTGAGAATGTTACAGCACTGGTTCATAAGCCCTTCAGGGAAATCTGGTCCACTGATTTTCTACATTTACACTCAATATAGAGACGTTTTTAAAACTGGAAAGTTAACCTGCCCGAGTCACTTCAGAGGTGGTGATGGTGGTTGTGGTCTTGGTTTGAAAGAATGTGCTTTACAGTCCAAAGCATAGATAAATGAAAAGAAAATGGGCTGACAATTAATGTCAGCTGTCCTCAAAAGTTGAATTTGTGTTGGTTACTGATGCAGAAAACTATCACCAACCAGCAGTTGATTAAAGAAAAAGATTCAGCTACCAAATGACTTACTCACACATACAGTGCCTTTGGATGGTCTAATTGGGTCATTTTGGATTATAATAAAGCTTCTGTGAAGAAATTTAACTGAAAACAAAGATGTTAGCCCAGAACAGCTTCACTCCTCCTCAGGTTTGATTCACCAAGTCTTCCACATACAAGGTTGTTTTCCACCCACATAAACATCGTGCCTGATGGTTAATTACCTGTCAAAGCATCCTGATGTTCAGCCAAAGCGCTTCTGAAACCGATGTAGCCAACACATCTCAAAGTGGCAGAACATGTCTGTGAGCCATGGCCACACCTTGCCATCATATGAGACGTTAAGGTCACAAAAATCGAGCTGTGACTGCATCGCTCAGCTCGCTCTTAGCTGTTTCGTCTTCGGGAGGAACTTGTTTTTTTCTGTCCTTTCATCTCCTGACGACTCACAAACATACGCTGACATGTCCTTGCATATTGGGAGGGATCCAGGGTTAATTACCCCGTTACCTGAATGGACTGAAGAAACCTTCCTCTCTGCTCTTCATCCAAGTTTAATGAAATGTAAAATATATTAAGTATCATCATAAATCTAATGAAGCCTCTATTTCACCTCTACACTGACCTTGTATTTGACCTTCTCGGTAGCAGGAAATCTGTAATTCTGCATATTTTTTAAAGGATACAAAATTTTATTTAATTATATTATCCCATAAGTTGAACTTTTAATTCTTTCAGAACGTTGTTAAAGTACTATGACTCAGTGAATGCATCTAACTTTTTCTAACAAAGGTAACTGCAAAAGACGAAATTCCCTCTTAGACACAATATGTTGGCAGGCTGGGATCTACATAAATTCAGTGCAGCTTTCTGATATAATGTTTCAGTCTTCTCTATACAGAACTTTTTATTCTAAATTTGAAACTGTTATATAATGAAGAACGCTGAAACTTTGTCATATGAACTAAAAGATGAAAAATTGCCCAGCAGTGACTTCGGTCTGTCAGTGCAGCTTTACCTCTTTGGTCTCGTGTTGTGAGCGTTTTGTTTTGCATGTAGTCTTTATGTCATTTGACTGTGTTGCTCTGTGTGTGATGTGCAGCACGACACAGTCGAACACTGCGATGAAAGTCAAAACAACAGACAGATATCACATCGAGACAACACGGTTGAACCGAAAATCAGAAAGACACTAACGAAGTGATCGTAAAAAAATTCAGTCGACATGAACAGCGGTCGTGAACAAAACAAATGTAACTTCATAAATATGACTCACATCGTTTTCATACTGTTAATCCATCTCTTGTGTTCCAAGAATCACCGGACGCCACTAATGTAGTGATTTGATCCTTCCCTGTCAGAGTACAGGTGCGCCGAAAAATGCCACCAATAGGACGGGTTTATGAACTTTCACCTTGTGGTCTGTTTATCCTTACTGTTCACACTAATGCACGAGCATCACAGCCACTGAACGTGACCACAAAACAATTATTGATGACTTTTCCACACATCATAAAGGCAAACCTTCCTTTGCTCACTGTTCCTATTAAAACAGGAGCCAGTTTTGCAGCTTTTGTGCGCTGCGATTTATTTGTCTTCCATTTAATCAGTGGGATCTTCTCCTCTCACGATCAATACAGAACCTACCCAGCATTTCCAATGCCTGCCTTAAACCTCGACTGAATGTTAATTCAGTTGTGCACTTCGGTGAAAGCCTCTGCAGTCACTCGTTTATTTGAGCTTTTCCTTTCATTTGTCACGTATTTACCAAATTAGATTGTAAGACTGAATTAGTGTTGGTGTTACATTAAAAGCCTTGTATTAAAAGCATATTGTGTACAGCATATTATAATTATAGGATATCTTCTCAAATAAATGAAAGCAAGCAAAAAGTAAAGAAAAGCAAAATACTTCATGTCTCACTAACCTGGTTCTTTTTGTATCTTTTGTCTTAAACTTTATTTTTGTTTTATATTTATGCCCTAAAAGCAGAAACTGGTTTCAAAGCATCGTCAGTTTTTAGCGTCATACAGAGGCATTAAAACCTTCTGCATCAGCTTCTCATTCTGACACCACAACAGTCCCTCTGTTTGTATTTATCATCATATGACATATGCATTAGCTGTACTCTAAAATAAAAATACAGCCACTTTCTTTTCTCCAAGTTTCTCTTTAATGCAAAAATCCTTTGCTCTTGCTGATTTTCTCCATCTGAGACGTGAGACGAGCTACTTAAGCGAGTTACGACCCCGACTTTGTTTTGCAGCCCGGCTGTACCAATGTCTGCTACGACCACATCTTCCCCATCTCCCACATCCGCCTGTGGGCGCTGCAGCTCATCTTTGTCACCTGCCCGTCTCTGATGGTGATGGCTCACGTGAAACTCCGTGAAGGAAAGGACAGGAAATATGTCGAGCTGCACCAGGGCTCGCACCTCTACGCCAACCCTGGCAAGAAGAGAGGAGGCCTATGGTGGACGTATCTGCTGAGTTTGATCTTCAAAGCTGGATTTGACTCAGCTTTTCTCTATATCCTGTTTCAGTTATATCATGGATATGACCTGCCCAGGTAATGCTGGTAACTTACTGTTATTAAAATGAACCAGTGTTGTTCTGAACTCGTTAAAACCTGCTGTACTCTTTTCTGTCAGGTTGTCCAAGTGTCAGCTGTCGCCGTGCCCCAACACCGTTGACTGCTTTATCAGCCGTCCAACGGAAAAAAAGATCTTCATGCTGTTCATGGTCATCTCCAGTGCGGTTTGCATCCTCATGTGTATCCTCGAAATGATTTACCTCATCGGCAAGCGCATCATGAAAATATTAAAGATCCGACATGAGAACGAGAGGCTCGTCTTCGCTGACCAGCACGAGCTCACTACCATTGCTCCAGCCCGCTCTCAGTGCAGAAGCAGGAGAGATCCGACAGTGACCGACAGCGAGCTGGAGTTAAGCAAGAGGAAGGATGCTAAAACTACAGTACTCTAGCATTCTGCAAGCTGCAATCATGGCTCGCCAACAGGAACAGAAAGTACCCAATAAGACTACTGAAACTGATCAAAAAGGGTTGTAAGCGATGGGTATTGTTTAGGTTTTATCCGATACCAGTACCAAACTGGTACTTTTGAAACAGTGCCGGTGCTTAAACGGTGCTCGAACCGGTGCTTAAAGAATGGAGAACACAAAATTGGTCCAGAAACCTCTCATGTTCAGCTGTTTTTTTGTAAAAAGATAACAATGTTAGAGTTTTCTGCAGCTATAGGGGATTTATAGTATCACTCTTGGCTGGAAGCAGTGCTTAAACAATGGAAAAAACAATCTTTGTACAAAAACCTCTCATGTTTAACTGTTTTCCACTTTTTCTTTGGTCATTTTAGCCTTTTTGGCCAGGGTGAAGGGAGCATCTGCCATCAAACAAGAAGACAGCCGCATGTAACTACGACGGTGTTTGCTAGTTCACCCTACATGCATTAATGTAATAACGTGGTTAGCCTACTCAACGTAAATTACACACGAACAACATTAAGCTACTCACCCAAAGAAGAACGGCTGCTGCTGCATCATCATCCGTCATCATTTCTGCTACACTGGCAGGGCTAGGGGCCAGGACTCTACTCTTCGGGTTTTTGGGGGATGTTGCTAACTCCGGGTCCGATAACTGGCACCACACCCGCAGTAGATGTGCTCGGTGTGAGCTCTTGCAGGAAGCTATCAAATACGGCGCATTTCTCAGCTTTTAACAAAATGCTATACGTCGCCAGGTGTTTCATCAGATTCGAGGTGTTACCTCCTTTGCACAATATCAGCTTCAAGCACTTGTTGCAGGCTGCTGAGTTTGCATCTTTTGCTGTGAAGTATAGCCAGACTTTTGACCGCTTCGCCTTGGGCATTTCTAATCTGTAGCTCTGCTCTAAAAGAACGTACGTACCTGGGCCCGCCTACTACGCTCGCAAAGGTAAAATGATTGGCTGGAATCCAAAGTGTATGACATCTCAGGAAAAAAAAGCACCGAAATGTGCGCTGCTTTTCGGTCTGGTTACTACCGTTTATGACAGAACCGGTGCCATAATGGCACCGGATACCGGTACCCATCCCTAGTTCCTGTGGATTATGATCCTCTCATCCAGCTGCATATGAAACGTTCATGATGTCAGCTGCGTTAAAGAAATGGCACCTAGAGCTGCTGACCAGAAAACACTGCTGAAGAAGAGGACTGTCAGCGGTCTGACATCGCATCACTGTTTATGTCACAAAGATGCGAGGACAAACATTCAGGTTATTCCGTATCAACAAGATAAATTAAATGGAATTTAATTTTAGGTTATTGATTTAAGAATCTGCAGCAAACGACTATTTAATTAATTGTCTCACACCATTGTAAATATTGCAGATTACAACACTTGCTATCTAAAACTGCACTGTTGAAACTGCACTGTGCAGTTTAACATCTTTACACTGACAGAAAGGGGTGTTTGGCTGGTTCGGACACTTAAGATGTGTCACAGGATGTGAAATGAGTTTGAGATTCCTGCTTTACACTAAGATACACCCGGCTTGTTCTGATCTGAGGTCTACGGTGCATTTAATGCACAGTTTTTGCAGTAAAACTGCAACCCTGACAAAGATCTAACAATTTTGTATACAATTCTAAAGATTAAAATAATATTCAGTGAAATGTGTGTTAATTATAGACACATCTATTTTTATCGTTTTGTTAGCGCCATCATCTGGTGGTTGAATCTTGTGCTTTAATAAGGCCACCGTAATGTCACGGGGCAGCAATGGAGGCAGGAGGTCTGTCCCCAGTTAAAAACATCAGGTGTGGTTTTTATTTCTGACTTTTCTGATACTTAAACAGAAAAATATGCCAAATGTAAACAAAGCTGTTGATTTACTGATCGATCTACACTCCCACCATCATCTATGGTCTCATCTATGTCCCAAAAATTAGATTGTGGAAAAGGCGCCTGGTCTCTCCATTAGACTAAAGTGCCAAGTAGGTGCCTTCTAAGTGAGGAGCATGAGATAAAACCTTGGGGCACACTGGTGAGATTAGAACAAGGGAAGGGACAGGATGGGCTCCTCTGGTTAGCTTGGAGCAGCAGATGGATGGATGGATTTTTCTCCTGTGCTTGCTCTTGATTATCAAATCTGGTGGTACCTAAATGGCAACAGATGGGTGTAAAAACTGTGCCTTGGGCCCTTTGACCTTCAGGCAAAAATGCCGGACTGCGATATCCAAATTGTGGCCACTACTGCAGTTGGGTCCAAGAGTTAAGTTAAGGCCACAGAATTTGAAATATGATCCTTAAGTCATTTTTTTATCCCACTTTTGGAAAGAAGTCAGCCGGAGTAGCTGTCAGGTGGTGGTAGCAAAGTTTTACAGTAAAGAAGAAAATATCCGACTCTCACTAACCGTTTTCAGAGCTGAAGTTTGGGAATGGTTAGAAAGCAAACACAAGTGATCTGCTGGACACCTGGGAGACATGTTTTAGACACATTTTTGCTGTGTGGCCTGTTAAGATGAGCTTTAGTCACCAGGTTTTAAAATTTACCTTTAATTACGGTTATTAGATTTTTACTATTTAAAGTGGAGAGTGTGAACCTTAGCTACTGTCTTTGTGTGATTTTTACGAGACATGTCTACTTTAATCTCTAGTTTAATCTTCGCACTCATTTCTGCTCTGACTATGAGTCAGCTGGAATGACATGCTGTGGTCCAAGATTATTTTTTATATAAATAACAGGCTGTTGTTGACATTACAGTGATATATTTATCTGCTTGTAATAAAAAAGAAACTGATTATAAACTGTTTGTGTAGACTGTCTTTTCTTTGCAGGAATGAAGCTGTATATGTGCAGTATTATCCTACAATGCTGCTGCGTTGTTGCTTAAACAGCAAATAAAGGTTTCATTTTTCATTAAAAACACAGAGTACTTCACAAATACACCATTTGTCATATTTATCTGACTGAAACCTGAGCAAAAAAAGTCAAAATGTGGAACAATAACAGTTTAAACATGTTACCACTAGATAGCAGCATTCTCAAAATTGAACAAATGTGACATTTATTTGCATATTTGCACACTTTATGAACATTTAAGTTAAAGTTAATATCAATAATGCTTCAAATTTGTTTGAACTACATACAGTTTTATTTGTATGTCAGGCAATGCTTCAGTATAATTGCCCGAATAAGTGACCAGCGGTATTTCATGATGATTGTGAGACTTTTAATTCTATTTCATGAAACACAGACAGCTCATGAAGTTAAAAACTCCAGCATGAAAAAATAAATTTTAACATCTTTTAAACTGTTTACTTTCAGTATTTAATATCATTGCATCCACATGAAAATAGACACATTACATGTTTTGTAACTAAAAACCTGTCAGGATTTATAAATTAATTACATTTATTATGTTTTTACTCATCTTTAATGTTGCCAGACCCAATAAAAGGAAAGCAATGCATTTAAAAAAAAAAAGAAAAAGACATGACTTCACTATAGTTTTAGCACATTGCTAAGACATCCAGAGGGCCAAATTAGACCCTTTGGTGGGCCAGTTCTGGCCCTCAACCCTGATGTTTGACACCCCTGTTGCACAAGGAATTTAAAAGACAAGAGTAATGCGGTTTTCATCCAATTTTTCAAAGCAGTTTAACAAAAAAGCCAAAAAGGGCGACAGATCTTTTAAAAAATTTAAATGTCTCTTTACTTCAAGACGGAACGTGTTGTTAAAAAAGGATCCGAGTCGAACTGTCACACGGAATAATACCCATTTCAGGTTTTACCTACAAAACATTCACTGCGACGAGGATGGGATTCGAACCCACGCGTGCAGAGCACAATGGATTAGCAGTCCATCGCCTTAACCACTCGGCCACCTCGTCTGTGAACCCGCACGAATATTACTGAGTCTGGACATCAGCGGGACCAGTATGCAAACATGATACATAGATAAACGGTGGGCAGCGTTTGACGCCATGTTCGCTTTTGTTTCTGCGCCACTCTAACAGTAAATACGGCTTTCACTGTAAAAAGTCTGCAAAAAAACAAAAAAAAGTAAACGTAACAAAGTGGGCTGAGTTAAATTTAACTCAACTTAGCAACTACCAATAGGAGCGAAGGATAATCTTGATTGACATATGAGTGGGTGGCAGCCACTGTGTAGACTCGTCGATGTTCGACGAGCTGATCGGTTTAAATCTGTGTGTGCGTGTGGTTAAAGGCTTACCAAAGCTGTGAGGAAAAGGAGGCTGCAACTGCGATTTATCATCAAACACCAACAACGTGTAAACGAAACGTTCATGATTAACCGGAAGACAACAGGCGGCACAGGCACTTGCAGTACAGCAGTCGCTCCAGCAGAGGGAGATAAAGACCACCAATTACAACTAGAGGGTCGCCAAATAAATGGCCTCTAGTGCCTGCGTATCCCATATGTTGCGTCCTAACGTTAATTAGTTATGTAAGGATATATGTATATTTATGCTTTGCTTTGCTACACGTGACTCAGCATGCTTTATGACCACATACTGGACCAGATGAGGTCGTGTAGCTCTTGTATTAAGGTTATGTTTGCATGACAATGATGCTTTAAATCTTTCCTTTTGTTAATAATTTAATTTCTCAGGGTGTCTACTGCTGTCATGACCTGCACATGCACACCTGATATTTATTCATGTGGTGTCAATATGCCATCATGTGTTTGAATCCAGTTTATAGTATCCCATCTATATGTGGTACTGCAATCAGTCCAGATTGCAGGTTTAAGCAGCCAGATTTTCCGGTCTTGGCGAATCACAAGGCAGAAGACAGACAGAGGGGATCAAACATTTATTTACCCTTATTAAAAGTTACAGTAAAACCATTAACATCTTCAAACGATAGCAAAATAAAGAGAACCAAAAATATTGGCCAAAACATATTTACAGAGACAGTTTGCAGATAAAAAGCTCACATTTTTTTGTACACAATCCCAACCCCTGCGCCATAAATTCTGAAATGTGAACACTGCAACACTCAAGAAGCTCGAATGTGGTTTTAGCCAGAAAAAGAACCAAAATGCACGAACAAAGACATCTTTTTCCACCTCCCCTCCTTGATGTTCTCCTCCCTATACATGACAAAATACTTGAAATTTGGGGGTAA